ATTTCGGAGAAAAACTGTGCCTAGGTATAAAACCTTGGGGAGGCACGCGCCGCCTGCCGGCTTGCTTTGGCGCGGCCGTCTCAGTGACCTCATAGCGGCCGCAGAAAATAATCGGCACGTGTCGGTAAGTTCAAAAGCATATAACATTTTAAAAAATATTAAATTTAATAAGTTTTCTGATTTGAAAACTCTAAAACCCCATTTTAAGCAACCAAAAAAAAAGTTACTATCATAATTGCCATGCCATGTACACCTATACGTCCCTGAAACGACCAACGGGGTTTTTGTTAGATACTGTATATAGGTTTATTTATCGATATATCGAAAATCCAATATTTTAAAAATATCAACAGTCCTAGTGTGAACTGATCAGTTGGAATGATCAGTTGAACTGACCGTGTGTGACCAGTGTTGCCGTTTTAGCGACTTTCTCGCTAGATCTAGCGGATTGTAACACTGTTTAGCGGATAAAAAAATCGTTTTAGCGAGAAATAATTATTTAGCGAGTTCTAGCAACATTTGAACTTTTGAGATGGCGACTTTTTATAATGTAATTCATTTTAAATAAGTGATTTATTGTATGTCCAATTTTGTAATCAACCGTTGGTAACCCTGTATATATAATATAATTTCACGGGTTTGATTAATTCCCGATAACATAAACTACCAATTCAATATCGTTCTTTCACTTTCATCTGTTTCGACATACAAAAATGCAGCAGGAGTAAACATATTCGAAGATTTATGTAATTTTGCAATAATAATATTATCACTACCGCACTCAAATACAGAATTTGAATGGGTATTTGGTGCTCTGAATGTATATAGTTAAAAGCAAACTACGAAACAAGCTATCAGAAATAACTTTAAATTCCATTTTTCTGTTTAGAAATCACTTAAGGGAAAAAAATTGAGCAACGTATGATATTCCTGAAGATGTTGTCAACCAAGTCGGTAAAGGCAAACTAAAGATGGGAACTGGAGAGATTGGCGAAGCTTCAACTTCCGCTGAAGTTCTTTTTGAAGATCGGGATCCATACTTCGCAATAAATTTTAAAATTAACGTTTAAGAAAGTACTGAGCTAATTGTTTTATTTTTAATAAGATGACTAATGTTTAAACGTGGTTTAAAGATTAAAGATTTATTTTTTTACAATATTTTTTTATTTTGTACATGAATAATTTTTGTTTTGGTTGTCATGTCTTAACCTACGCTATAGATAACTGAATTATATGAAATAGAGTCCGCTCCAGGTATATAATCAAAGTCAAAGGTCCGCTTTTTTAAGGTTTTTCTGAATTTATAGATTTATATTTTCGGTATTCATTGTATACCATTTGGCAAGATTTTTCAGTTAGTCCAATGGGAGCACGAAAATGTACCTAGGGACATCTCGCGGTTTTTAAGAGAAAGAAAAATCCTGTTTCTGGTGGATTTTTTCTGTTAGTCTAGGGACTTTAAAATTTGTAGAACGGCAACCCTGTGTGTGACGTCCATAAGTAATTATGCAAGGTAAATAGGTATTAGGTAACGACTTCATCGCTGTGGGGTGGTTATGATAAAAAAATCTCTCTGCTCAAGCATGGCGATTATAGATATTTTTATTAATAAAAAATCGTATGTCTAACTCTGTTTACGGTTTGATGATGAAAAAGAGTTATATTATATTTTATCCTTACATATTACTGCACGTCGCATTAAAAGCGTAACTCATAAACGTTAAAATAAGAGTATACGTTTTTATTAGTGGCGTAATGTTTCCGTTCCAAATAGAGCAACATTATTCTATTAATAGGACTTGTTAACCGACACTGCTACTACACCTCTATGCAATGTATATGCTTGTTTCACACAAATTAGATGGCCGATTTTTTGTCAACCGCAAACAAGTCACTAAATTCGCTAAACAATTTCATTGATTACAGTTTATAATTGAATAGATTAAAGTTTTATAAACCAGTACTTGGATCATATTTGATGGAAAATGATGATGTAGCTGTAGATGAAAATGCAGTGGCTTAGCTTAACTCTTTCAGCCACACTTTCATTTTTCGAATAATATGAACAAAAATATATTTTATGGATGTATTAGTTACAAGTACTACATGTATAAAAATATAAAAAAATAGCTTCTACCTTAAAGCTTGGAAGGAATGAGATGGTTATCAGTACTAACCACCGTGGCTGTAGGATAAAACACTTATGATGAATAAAGAACTTTATTTTATGGAATTATTTCCTTACTACAACTACTTTTTGTGAAAATCAGCAAAGCAAGTTTTTTCTTTATATAAGCAAAGAGAAACTTTACACATGCTACACTCCTAAACTGTGCATACTGGATGAGATTTTGTACTGCACTTGCAGCAACGCCTAGATGTGCCCTGATGTGGTTGGTGCCGACTAATTTCTACACGCATTTCTTGGGGAACTGTTGGTTTGTGACGTTTAATGAGTACAGGAATCGGGAAATGCGCTGGAGGACTGGTACTGGTACTGGTAAGATCCCTTATTCACAAAAGAATGCCCCGGTAGACAGAACTGCGGAATTCCTTCATTGTCAGTCTTGACAGGTCCCATATGATCAAGTTTTTGAAGATCTTTGTAAACAATAAAAAATTTACCAACGCGCAGTCAAAGAAATGAAAGAATATTCTATGCCACCACTTACGAGACTTTCTTTCAATGACATAACAGCTTTTGAGTTGGTCTAACTTGTCTACAAATTTCATATTTACGTTGTATAATACTTTACAAGTTCAGGACAAGCTATCTGATTTCAGTCACCATTGCGCTCTTTGCTACTGAAATTTCGAGGGTCGTGATAGTTTGATAGAAGGTGGACTACCCTCTATCTTTCCACTTCATCACAGTCACATTTGTGTCACTGACTCGATCATGTTTACCCCTTTCTAACTTCTTATCCGTTTTCCAATAGCATTTACAGTACCACAAGACAGGATTTTGTCATTTAGTAAATCAAGCTGCAACTTATAACTGTTAAAATAATTATCAAAGTATACTCTGTGATATTTCCCTTTGAGATTAGTACATAATCACTTTGCTGTTGTAGTACCCAAATCTTTATCCACATTTTGTTCTTGTTTACCTATATATAATTGAAAATCTAGACAGTAACCAGACTCAGCACACTTGATCCAAAATTTATTGCCCCATTTGATCGGTTTTTTTCGGCATGTATGCTTTAGAGAAGAAATCGTCCTTTAAATTTTATCATCCTAGCACAGAAGTTTCTTGGAATAATATCCATCAATGAACGAACTTTATACAATATATCAAAGTTGGGAATTTGTCTAGAAGGAATCCAGCAATTATCGTTCATACTATAAAAATACCAACAACCGAATTGTAAATATCTAGCAAATTATATGTAAATTAATAGCCTATATGTCATGGTGGTTACCTATACTGGCCACCACATTCAAGTATTATTTTAGTAATGTTATGTATAATAATACTATAATCAAATCTACAGACAAATGTAAACAGCAACACTTTAGACATATTTTAACATAAGATGACGTTAGATTAACTGAAATATAACTTTTTAATCAATAATGCAATCTCATGTTGAATTAAAACATCCATCAAATCTCAAGTTCGTAATTATAACTGACAATTGATTCAACTGACACCTATTGGTCATTCATAGAGGTCAGGGTTGGTTGGTTAGCATTACTAACCACCTACACCGAAATAGTTAACAAAAGCCTATCCACTCTAGCCTTGAAGACATTTTAATCAGATAGAAAAACAAATGCTAGCAAATTATTTTACTCTTTCTGTTTTGGTTTTTGTGGTTGTTTTTATTTATTTTATGTTTTAATAACCACATTGTTTAAATTCTACAAGTCTAAATTTATTTAAAAACACAATCCTAAAATGCTCATTTTAAAATAATTTCCTATTTTGTTATTATTACTTATCTTATGTACATAATAATTAATGAAATGTTAGTATAGTTATGTCTTTGTTCAATTACACTAAAAAGCTTAATGAATTTATTTGAAATTAGAGAGCTAAGTAATGTGTAAATATACCATGTTTGTACCAATTCTTAAGAATGATACATGGGTGTATTATATTTAAAGAATAATTAATTTTTCCATTCAATGAATTTTATAATAGCCAAAATTATTAAAAAACAAAACAAATAATTGTTACACATTAAATAGTACTGCAAATTAGTTACTAATAGTATACTGTAATAAATATGTAATGGATGTAATAATAAATAAACAGGTATTAATAACCATATTAGCTACTAACATGGTCATTAATATTGATATATCATTTGTAATAATATTTTGCAGCAGTGTTTTTCTAATAACATAAAATAAGAAACTATGGCTAATATCTCTTCTTTTTTTAATAGTATTGGGTGACAAATGAGCACACAGTCCACCTGATGGTAAGTGGTTGCTGTGGCCCATAGACATCCACATTTATCCCTAATTAAGAATCAAAATGCAAATGCGTTGTCACCCCTGAGGAGTAAGATGGAATGCCTCGATTCCAGTAAAAAGGGTCTCCCGTTCTCTACACTCACCATATGAAACACAGCAGCATTACGCTGCTATTTCACACTGGTAATATGTGAGAGCGTGGTCCTGCCTCGGTCGAGCCAACATTCGTACTACAACTATAATATAGTTGAGGTTTCTACACGTAGAATGGAATTCAGCAAGCTATGAGGGAGGTCTATGCTTGGCAGTGGACTTAATAGCCTGTAACAGTTATAATATTTGTATTATCTGTATTGTGCATCATATACTATACATATATGTAGTAAAATATATTGTATCCTGCACTCAATTTTACATTTAGTATTATCATTTACAATAATAATAGGCCACAATAAAAAGAGTCAAGCCAGTATTATGAGAGTATGTACTATGTAATGTACATAAGTACTGATATAACTATATTCATATCTTATCTATAAAATATTATATCAAATAATAAATATATTGCTTACCTCAGTAGTGCAGTTTCTTCAGCATTTAGGGAAGGCATCTTCTTCAGTTCTTTCTTCTCAATCTTTTCCAAAATTGAGTTTCTGTAATAGTGCAATATACTTAGCTTACATGTAATGGGCTAACAGGGTGGAAGGTACTGTATATACTTTGAACTTAAGACTTAGAATTTTCAAGTATTGTTCAATTAATGAAAACTTATGTAATGATTTTTAATTATTTTTTAAATAAATCTATTATTTCTTTAAAAAGTACATTAACAAAATTCGTGTTGTGCAACAAAATACATGTATTAATGGGTGCAAGCGAAAAAATTGTCCCATCACATAAACCAGTAAGACTAGCATCTTCTTACAAGTTACTTACTCAGTTAAAACCTCTGTCATGTCGGACATATTTTCCTTGAAAAATGGTGCTAACTTCTTTCTTGCAACTCCACCAATGTGTAGAATTTTCTTTATATCACTCTTTTTGTTAGGAAGAGTTGTACCTTGGTATACCTGGCCCAGGGCCATGTATGAACCGCCATTCAGCAGACCACGTTGCATGCCAACTTAATATCAAAAGAAAAAAAAATAAGCGTCAAAAAATACCAAGCTTGTTCATGCAAGAAATTAGAGGGAAAAGTAAAAATAAAAGCTCTGGGACAACTTACAAAAGTTATTACACTAGAACATAACTACTACGAAACTGTTTAAGTGAACTTCCATCACATTTGCTGCATAGGTGTAAATAGTATAAATTAAAAGAAAAAAAAGACAACATTTATTTTGCAAATAATCAACTTTTCTTACCTTAGTTTAAACTGTGCAGACACTTTTTTGTCAGCGAGCAGGTTAAATCGAACCAAACACGATCAACGATGCACTCACAAGTCACTAGACACCAACCTTCCAAAGCGGCGACGACTGCTGGTCTAGACTGCCCACACAATTATTAGGGTTATTAGTCTGCTTGTGAGCAGACCGAACAATTTTGTAGCTTAACAATTTTGTAGCTTACTTCTCACTGAACTAAAGACGCATGCGCGTTCTATTAGGTCAATTATTCAATCGAACGAGCGGGAACCAGCAAAGAGAATCCACTAACGTTAAGTTTAAGACATCTTATATTGAGTACTTATATTTTTAACCTTCACAAATTTACCCATATAAAAATTTCCTCAAAAAGAGAAATCTTTGACGAATTAACTAAAATACTATGTTTACTTGCCACGTACGGTAAACTTATTTTCCAAAACAGAAGCTAATCATAAATTTTCAGTAATCAATGGATTTCAAATCAAAAGTCTACATTTTTCTCATTACAGCCAATTTTGGTTGATATTTGTAATAAGTTTACCTATAATATATTATAGTAGTTTATAGTAGTTATATATATATTTTTATCTCAACCACCCGCCAAAACTCTTATAACTGTTTTTTTATTATCTATCATTACGGCTCTGGGTTCTAGCCCTTCTGAGCAATTTCTCTGAGTCATTTCTTTCAGAATCGTCATTTTTACGCTGGTAATATACAAGTCAATGCATTTTTATATTTTTTCTTCACAATATGCTGATGAGGATCATATTGCGAAGCCCTTGGGAGATTTTGACGACAGCTCAACCCAGCGGATAGTTGATGACGGCATCCACTCAAGTTCATAAGATGCCTAAGCGATCAAAATAATTTGAGGTTTATATCGACATCAAAGCACTTATTTCGTCGTTTTCTCCAATTGTTCACATGCGCGAACACTTAATTCACATAATCGCATCACTTTTACGAATCAAAATCCCCTTCAAACCATTATTCAAGCGACAAAACAGGGGCGACAATCCGTCTACGGCCAACATCGCGCCAAAACTTATATAACTGAATTTATGTTCAAAACTATTATAGAGTGTAGAGGTACACTCCATATTTATAACTTTAAAAACGTAGACAGAGAAAGGATTCTCTCTGATACGTCATGAAGGTTAGACAACGTGAGAACGATCGCCATAGAAAACCATAGACAGAGAAACCTATAGACTAATGATTAACGTGGCCTCGAGTGAGAAAGGACGATAACTTAGTTATAGGTTATACAATAATCTTTATGATGATATTGATTATTTTAAACATATTTAGATAAAATTTTTAATTGTTCTAAGAACTGAACTGAACAAGATTCACCAATCTTATTCTCACAAAACACCTTTTTCTCACTTAAACCAACTTGTAAATTCCTTAGGTCGCTACGAACTGTCAAAGTTGTATAGCAAAGTGTAGTTTGCTAAACAAAAAAACCGGCACGGAGAAAGGGACAAGCAATCACACCGCTCTGTCTCATTTCTATGCAAGACGTATGCATAAATCTATCTTTTTCGTGTGCGAATGTGAAAGAAGGCATCAATTTGTCTATAGGTTTCTTTGTCTACGTAGAAAACAGTGTCCCAGAAATATGGACACCATAAGTGAGGCGCTGCGATCGCTAAGTTCGGTCAATAAAAGTCATTTTCAGTCTATTTTTCCGATCAGATGCTAATAATGGCTGGGGATGCAACTCCTCAGGCGACGGACTAGCATCCACGCATGGAAGCCGCCATGGATCTTCCAGTTGTGGTTGAATCAGACGATGATGAAATGGTCTTCCACGAAATAGAGCAAAGCCTCTCGAAAGTCAACCGCGACTTCCCCGCATACCCCAAAGTAAGCGAAATCGGGCTGTCATAAAGGCTCTTAACCCAATGCTGGTAACCTATTTGGAAGCCAGCCGGGACCTTTGCGAGACGAACTCAATTCTTTTTGGCGCCGCAGTGGCAGCGTGCCGTATTATTAGCGCCAAAATTCCCATTGCTGGACGCGCTACTAAACAAAGTAGCGCCATCCCAGCCTGGAGAAAAATAATTGAAGACCGTATCGCAAAGGCAAGGGCCCTTATCAGCAGTCTGAAAAACTTCAGGTTGGGTAATAATAGTCCAACGGTTGTGCGCACCGTTAGAATGGCGTTTGCTTGGACAAATATTATTTTGTCCCAGCCGGATATCACGCAGAAACTAATGGAGTGCATAGACGACCCGAAGCAAAAGATCGCTGCTTGGGGGAAGCGGATTAGACGATTTACCGAAAGGTCAAGGCGATTCAACCAGAATAGTCTCTTCCATAGTGATCAGAAGAGGCTCTATAAATCATTGGAGCGACCAAAGTTATGTGGAGTGGGCCCAGGATCGAACCAGGCGTGGCCTGTGGTCAGAACCCGTAAACCACAGTGAGGGCCCTTGGATGGAAGTTGTGGAGAGCCAAAGTGCGAGTGTTACGCCTATCGACCCCGTCACCATAACGCCGGAAGACGTAGCTGAGGCGGTCAAACTGGGAACTGGAAAAGTCCGGGGCTCGACGGGCTGCATCATTACTGGCTAAAGGGGTTCGTAGTGTGTCACGCTGTGCTTGCCTGAAAGTTTCAAGAGGCTCTCGATCAGAAGTCGCTCCCGAGCCTCTTCACTACTGGGATCACTCACTTGATTCCTAAATATCAGGATACCACAGACTCGAACAAATACCGCCCCATCACGTGTCTACCCACGATATATAAGACACTGACATCCATTTTGAGCGCGAGAATCACTCGTCATCTGGAGCTAAATCAGGTGATGTCACGCGCTCAAAATGGATGTCGGGGCGGTGGTCATGGAATCAAGGAACCACTCTTCATTGACGCGGTCATTGGCAAAGTGGTGAAGCGCAACCGTCGGAACTTCTCCACCGCCTGCATAAACTACAGAAAGGCATTTGACTCGATGCCCCATACATGGCTAAAGAGAGTCCTCGAGCGGTACAAGATAGACTGTACAGTTAGAGACTTCTTCGAGCAGTGTATGGGGCTGTGGAATACGATCCTTTGCCATCTGGGTGAGCGGATGATGGCTGCGGAGAACCACATAAGGATAGGGAGGGGGTATCTTCCAGGGCGATTGTCTGAGTCCAATCTGGTTCTGACTCTAAGGTTCATGGGCGGGGGCTTGGAAAATACCGGGTTTATCTCGAGCAATAAACAAAAAAAATAATATAATATAATATAATATAATATAATATAATATAATATAATATAATATAATATAATATAATATAATACAATACAATACAATACAATACAATATAATATAATATAATATAATATAATATAATATAATATAATATGGCCCTCGCATATCTAACTCCAATTCCGCGCATGACCATCTATGCCACGTGAGGGCCGGACATTGGACTTTTAATTAACTTAACCAATGACCAACGGAGCTCTAGATACCTTCAATGATGGAGAGACAATTACGTAGTACTATTATAGGGCCGCTATCCGAGGGTGAGCGTCGGGGCACGTCTGGAGCTGACGCTGGACGTGACAGCGTACGGGCCGTCAGCGGCTCTCTGCTGAGCAGGCGGGTAAGAGTCGGGGAACCCGAAAATATTACAGCCGATCAACGGGAAGAAATGGGTATGGGTGATGCTTTGCAGAGTACGGACTTACCTACAAGCTCTGCCGGCTCATCCTCAATGACCACAAATAATACAGAGCATGATGATAGAAAAAGAAAGTGGTCAACAGAAGAACTTCAAGAATTAATGTTTTGTTACTTTAAAGCAAGATCAATTGGACCAGGATACATAGACAGGTTACATAAACTTTTCACAGAAAGAAACCCGAATAACCCTAAAATTCATAAGTTTAACGGAAACACTTTATCAAATCAAGCACGAAGGATCATTAAGCAAAATGTACTATCACAAGAATTACTAAACAGAATACGAAAAGAAGCAGAAGGTATCACACCCGTAGATAACTCAAATTCAAACGACATTGGAGTACAAGATACACAATCTACACTCACACACATTACGGAACAAAATTTACAACATACCATTGAACTAGCTGAAACAATAGATCAGATGACAAGTAATATAGTGGTAAACGAGAATCAAGATCCATTAATCTTGCACTTCCTTCAAATATTAGCGGAAACTAATAAAACTAGACTTGAAGATCGAGTATTTCTACCTAAAGCTAAAATCAATAGGCGTTTCTTAGAAAATCTACACACATTAAATAATTATTTACCTAATCTTTTAATTACTAATAATAGTTTGCGCGAGATAAATAATATAATATACGCTGCGGCTAAAACTCTTATATTAAACAACAATCAAAAACCTTATATCACTAATAATATTATAAAACCAAAATGTGATCCACCATGGAAAAAAAGAATACAAACTAAAATAGATATATTTAGGAAGGAACTAGGACAATTAATAGAAATTAAAAGGGGAATCAAAACGCGCAGGATGATGAAAATAAAAGAAAAATTATATACCAAATACAGCATTCGGAATGATAATGATCACAATAAAATAACAGAAACTATTAGGCAAAAAGTTAAAGCTTTAGCAGGTAGAATAAAGAGATACGAAGACATTAACACTAGACAAGTTCAGAATAGATTATTTAATGAAAACGAGCATAGATTCTACAGAAGTTTAGGGTGTAGTAACAACAAAGACATCAAAATACCGAGTAAAGAAGAAGTGGAAGTATTTTGGAACTCAATTTTATCAAACCAAACGCAGTACAATTTGAATGCTAATTGGATAAAAGAAGTAGAAATGCTGTCAAGTGAAATACACAGAGAAGACACACAAGAGATAACAGAAGACCAAGTAAAATTTGCAATCAGATAACTGTTAAATTGGAAATCACCTGGAATGGATAAAATACAAAATTATTATTTAAAATACCTAACCAGTGTTCATAAATACATAGCTTCATTATTCACTAAGATAGTTTCAGGTACAGAAATAATGGAAGAATGGTTCGTTACGGGACAAGTTACATTAATACCCAAAAATGAAAAAACCGAAAACCCAAAGAACTGGAGACCAATAGCAAGTTTACCTAGTATGTACAAATTACTTACTTCCATATTGTCCAACGTATTGTATAGCCATTGCGATAAGAATAACATAATGGCCGTAGAGCAAAGGGGATGTCGACGTGGTGCCAGGGGATGTAAAGACCATCTAATGGTTAATAAGGCCATATTGGAGGATGCACATCAAGCTCAAAAAACCTGAGTATTGCATGGATTGACTATCAAAAAGCCTTCGACAGTGTATCTCACGAATGGCTTCTTAAAGTGCTTGATGTCTATAAATGTCCACTAATGATTAAAAGGTTCCTTCAGTTGGCTATGCCACTATGGAGGGTGATCATGACAGCCCGTGGATCATATGATTCGGTTACCACGAAACCGATTTATGTTAGGCGTGGAATTTTCCAGGGTGACTCCCTCTCACCAGTATTATTCTGTTTAGCAATTAACCCACTTTCCAGTATACTTAATAAATACAAACTGAAAGGATATAAACTCAAAGACAGTTTCTGGGTCAATCACCTACTATACATGGATGACCTTAAAGTTTATGCAAACAATAAGAGCAATTTGAAAGTACTGTTGGATAGTGTGGAAGTATTTACAAGCGACATAGGAATGCGATTTGGACTAGACAAATGCAAAACAATACACCTGAGTTCTCGGTATAGAAGCAATGCAATAGGAGAAGGTCATATTCTTTTAAGCGGGGAAACTTTTGAGCAACTTGCAATAGGAGATAAATATAAATATTTAGGAATACATGAATCAGGAAAGATAGAACACAGCATCATAAGAGATCAAATAACTAAAGAATATTTTAAAAGAATCAAGAAACTACTGAACACCCACCTTAACTCACGATATTTGATAAAAGGTATTAATACATACGCAGTCCCGGTTTTACTTTACTCATTTGGCATAATTAATTATAAAAATAACGATCTTAAGAAAATAGATATAAAAACAAGGAAATTACTAGCAATTAAAAAGGTACATCTGCAAAAATCAGAAATAGAAAGGCTATACTTGCCTGTAACACAAGGAGGAAGAGGTCTGATAAATATAGAGTACATGTATAAAGCACAGATAGTAAAATATAAACAATATCTGAAAACAGAAAGCGATTATCTCATTAAAATAATAATGCAACACGACACATAAAGAAATAAATATTCAATAATAAAAGAAGCACAAGAGATAGAAAGAGAATTACACTTAACACAAGAAAATACATATACAGATAAAGAGATTAAGATGGCAATAGTTAAAAGACACAATGAACTGTGGCGAACAAAGCCCTTACATGGACAATTTCCTAAAAAAGTTTTAGACCAGGCCAATATAGACATAGAACTTTCATATCAATGGCTTAAAAGGCAACAGGTATCTCCAAGTACAGAGTCATCAATATTTGCAATACAAGACCAGGCCATTAATACGCGGCAACATCAACGCGACATATTAAATGAGCCAGTAGATGGAAAATGTCGTCTGTGTTCCTGTAAAGATGAAACCACACAACACATAATATCCGGATGTGACAAACTAGTAGGGACATATTACGTAAAGCGACATGATAACCTTGTCCAGTACGTCTATTGGTGTCTGGCTAAAAAGAACAAAATAGAAGTTTCTAACCTCTGGTGGCAAGAAACCCTCATCCGACCACAAATTAAGGAAAATGAGTTTGCTAAAATCATGTGGGAAATGCCCGTCCAAACTGATATTACTGTAACACATAATAGGCCTGATTTGATATATGTTGATAAAACAAGTAATAAAACATTCTTAATAGATATAACTGTACCATCAGACTACAATATAGGACCTAAGGAAATTGAAAAATTAAGCAAATACCACCTGCTAAAAACTGAAGTCAGTCGTTTGTGGAATACACAAGCAACTGTCATTCCCATAGTAATAGGAGCAACGGGAATGGTAGCTAAAAGTATTAGGAAATACATAGATAAATTAGATAGCCATATTAACATTAGTATCCTTCAAAAACAAGCAGCTATTCACACATCAACTATACTCACTAAAGTGCTAGGGGATACCGTATTTGTACATAATCAACCGGACCATCTACATATACAGATCACCCAACAGTCATCAAACACGCAGCAGTCACCAAGCACAACGGATACAATAAACACCACAAACACATCGAATATACAACGTTCACTAAACATCCAAGAACAACACATGCAAACCATGCAACAATCAGTAGACATAACAGACATACAACAATCATTAAATGCACCCACTCATCTAACACAAATTATAATCCGAATGTACATCAGTCACTAAATTCTCGACAAAAACGAGGACGAGGGAGGAAAAGA